CCGATCCCCGACGACTCCAGGATCCTCTTCTGGAATTCCAGGCTCGCCTCGTCGAACTTCCCCGATTTCCGCGCCATCTCGATGAACTCCTCCTTTGTGACCTAGCAGAGTCATGCATATACGATGGATCAGTATTTGTCCAGTTTTCACTTTTTGCAATCAAACTTAATCGCTAATTAAATAAAAATTATATTAGATACTGATACAAAAGTAATTCTGTTGAATTTATTCTCTAAAATATTTTTAAAATATTATTTTGTCTAAAAAAATATCATAAAAATTGTAGTTCGAAGTCAAAGGTTGAAATTGATTGAGTGCAAAAAGTTAAAACTCGATAAATTAAATACTCAGAGACCAAAGTAGTATATAAATAGTGTATTAAATTGTGCTTATTTTATTTTTTGTGTCAAAAGTATTTTTTATATTTTAATAAATTAAGATACTTGGTAGAAAATAATTGGTTTATTTTTTACCTTGAGATCATCACTAGGCTTGAAGCAGGCAAAATCAAGAAGATAAATGGGTCTAGGCTTGGACATGAAATAAACCGAGATGGTGAACACAAGCAGCCCCACAAAGGACAACACCGTGGCGAGGTCGTAGTTGGCGGTGCTGTCCCAAACCCGCCGCCACATCTCCGCCCTCCCGAGGCTGCCGACCTCCAAGCCGAACACCACGACGAGGAGCGGCACGGTGGCGAGGTATATCCCGTGGTTTATGAGGTTGTGGTACCCGAGCTTCACGTACTTGAGGTTCACCGACTGCACAAAGTCCGGGAGCCGCCTCCTGACCCTGACGGAGAACGTCATCGTCCCGGCGTCCGGCCCCGACGACTGGACCCCGCGGTTGACGATCTCCGTCTGCAGGAGGTGCTGCTCCCCGGAAGCCATGCTTTGTTTTTTTGGAAGTAGAAAAAAGAAGAAGCTTGAAATAATGAAATATAATTATATGAATATATGATATTATTAGATGGAAATGATATGATAGGAAGTTAGTTGTATATATATAATGAGGGATGTATGGAAGTTATTTATAATGAAGTGAACAGAAAAGAAAGGAGTGTGTATGTGGAGTTGTGAGGTTTGTTTATTTATTTTGGAAGATGAGCGCAATAAGGTCGAGATGGTACGTGACAGACTGACTTTGCATATTATTATTATTATGGACTACTTCATCCATTTCATATTAAGTAGTACGTGTGAAAAAACACTTTCTAATTTGACCAAAGACCGAAAAAAAGAATGATTATATGCGTAAAAGTAAGATTTGATGGATACATTATTAGTGAAAAAATATGATATTATAAGTATGGTATGAAAAAATAGGAGCAAAAGTGATTTTTTAATAGAAAGTGGAAGTATTTTGGTGGGACAGAAAAAATGAAAGAGAAAATGGTTTGGTGAACGGAGAGAGTAAGACATTATTGATACGTTAAGAAGAGAATGAATGTAGGCATGTTTTATGACCAGATTCGTTCATTTTTAATTTCAATGTATCAAAAATGTATATTTAGACCGTTAATATGAAACGAAATATAAGAAACCACCAAATTAAAAACAAATACAAATAAATAAATAGATAAAATTGTGTGTCCATTTTATTATTCGGGTTCCATCGGTTCTTTTGACATATAATTGCATTTAGACACGTACAGTGTTCTCTTTAGATAGGCTCGAATATGATTCTTACCATTCCTAACTCGCTAATGCTTCCAATTCTCCCATTGTGCCCATATTTAAAACATCAAATACTAGTGTGTAACACAGTAGCATTTCAGCATTCTAGAATTTGTGCAGTGCGAGGCTAGGAACTATTTTTTGGTCTAAACGGTGCATCGGGATTTATATATACCTGATGTCATAATATGATATTGAGTACTAATGTCGAATTGTATAATTGTTCACTCAGTTTCTTAACCTTTTTTGTTTCAATTTTTTGAATAAATTTTACAAACTTTAATATCAAAATGTGGAAGAAATAGTATTGAGTTGTGATGTAAATTTAATATCAATACATTCATTTTGTAATATACTCTCCCCGTCCTATGAAACATGGGACTTTTGCTTTTTAGGAGGGATTTAAGGGGAGTGTATTTTGGTATTGAATTTTCAAAAATGTCCTTTGATGTGATGGGTAAAAGTATGATTTGATGGATAGATTATTAGTAAAAAGGTATGATGTGATAGTTAGGGTATGAAAAAGTAATGGGTAAAAGTGACTTTTTAATAGAAATGAGAAGTGTTTTATGGGGCGGATCAAAAAAGAAATGAGAAAGGTTTCATGGGACGGAGGGAGTAATATATTAAAATATCATATTTTTAGATTACAAGTATGTGGGTCTGTTTGGAAATAGCATTAGCGATTAGCGTTAGCGTTTTGAAAAGGCTGGCCCCGTTTGGCATCAGCGTCAGAGATTAGCTTTAGCGTTTTGAAAAAGCTATCCGGCGGTAGCCTTTAGCGTTTTCTGAATTCATCTGCACCATTAAAATGTTATCCAAAACGCTAACGCTAATCGAAAACGCTGTTACCAAACAAAGCCGCTATCTACGGGCAGCGTTTAGCGTTAGCGTTTTCAAAGTAATCTGCACCATTACAATTTTATCCAAAACGCTAACGCTAATCTCTAACGTTATTCCCAAACAGGCACTCTATATTATATATACTTATGTAGGGCATAATAGGTATTAATGTAAACCGGCCTCATCAATATTGACCGGCCACTACATCATTTATACTTTGTGCTAGGGAGCAGTGTTTAATTTACTCCCTATTCTTAGTATTCTATAAAAATTTATGTTCAAATTAAACAACTTTTTTCAAGAGTAATTTCACATTAAATACCTTTACTATGTAATTAATAAGAATAATTACGGGTCAAATATAATAAAATTTCACTTAAATGATGACTAATTGTGAGTTCTTAATTTGAGACAAAGAGTGTTTTCATTCTTTGAAAGTCCACATTATAATTAACATCATCAAATGCTTAATCAAGCATCACATTTATATATAGAGCAAATATTTTCAACTAATCACGTGTCGTAAGGAGATCTAATTTGTCTAGAATTTGTTGAGGTTTTAGAACTTTTTTGGCGTATTTATATTTAATCTCAAAGTTTAAACGGTTTTTCTTATTAAAAATATTTACACTCATTATAAGTTGTACTTTTGAAAAACCAAATGTATAAAACATGTATGTATCTGTATACGTACTCGGAACATATGAAATGTATAATTAGACATATTTTAAAAATATTATCTGTATTATGCAAGCACATACATATAAACGTATAAAACTCGTATCCGAATAAACTTACAGAGAAATTTTAAGTTTTAATTTAAGAGAGAAGGAAGAGAGTGCTTTCATTCTTTGAAAGTCAATATATATAACATCATCAAATGCATAATCAAGCATCACATTTATAGAGCAGATCAACTAATCACATGCAAGTCGTAAGGAGATTTAATTTGTCTAGAATTATTCCATATTTAATTAGGTTGCATAGAGCAATAAAACAATATTATCACACCTTGTAAAAATTAAGTGGTAAAAAACACCAAAAAAAGAGATGACAACATAACAATTTAGCATCTTATTTGAAAAGTGGAGCACATTTTTTATTAGCATTATTATTTAGGATAATTTTTTGGACGAAGAGAGTATAATACTAAAAGCATGTGCAGTGGCAAGTAAAATGAATGCATTGCACTGCCACATCACTTTCTTCCTCTTATATCATAAAATAAATGGCAAAGGTGAGTACCCTTTTCTTCTTCTTTTTTTATAATTTTTTTGTTAAGTTTTTTTTAAAACTTTTTTATGAAAAAAATGTATAATTAATAAAGTGGAATAATTTTCAGATAAAATAAATAATAAAAATATTTTTTTATGTTTAAAAATATAAAAAAATGAAAAAAGCGATTAAAAAAATGACTTGCCACTGTAGAACTTGCCACTCCAGTCACTTGTCACACGCTGATTAAACTATTTTTTATTAGTTAAAATATTACACGTCACCGTGTGGCATTCCATTTCGCCCTAACATTGTTCATGCTCTAATGACATATTGTAGAGTAGACAAATTAAATGATAGAGAGGGAGGGTGGTGGAAGAGACTTAATTGAATGGGAGGGGTGGGGAGGGGAGAGGTGACCAATTCGCAATTAATGCGACACCCCATATCTATGCAGCACCAACTGATTTGGGATGTTGTCAACTGCCCTCTATTCTTTTTTGGAAAAACACACATAAATATTACTACAAAGTTTGAGTTATCATATTATATATATATATAAAAAAAATGAATCCTAAGAGAACAAATATTGTGAAAGAATATTTCTAATAGATAAGTTATAAATGTCACAAAAATGGTTCAATTCAAGGAGCTCTGTAAAAGAATATTTGGTTAAGAAGACTTTGATATCATATCAAGAAACTAACGCAATCAAAAGTTTACAAAAATTCTAGATGAAATAAATAAAGATCGAGAATTGATTCATATCGATCATAAATACAAGAAATCTTTAATTTCGACATTGATTGGTTAGCGTCTGATTAATCTTCATATCTTGCTCCCTCTATAATTACACTGGAGAATTTTTTATTTGTTACTCACTCCGTCCGTAAAAGATTGCTAAGTTTGACTTTTTTGGTCAAACTGTGACACCCTTTGACAACAAATTAAATACATTTTAAAATAGAGTAAATTCCATAAAAGGTCCTCAATTATAAGTCATTTTACATATTTAGTCCCTACATATCAAATTTTACTAATTTAGTCCCCAATTATTAAATCATTTTTAACGAATGATCCTTTGTTAATGTTTTTGTTAAGAACATAGATAAAATTGTATATTCATACTTCTCTCTCTCCTCAATTAAGCTTCTTCCCTCCTCGCGTACTCTTTCTGAAACTCATCGTTGAGTTTGAAGCTCTAAACCCAAAACTGAAATGATCACTCCTGTCTCAATTAGTAGTCTTCCTGGTGGAAACTAAAATCAAAACCAATAAGCTTTATGGATGAGTTTTATCGGTTAGTCTCAAAGAACTGCAAAGAAAATAAACATTAAAACTCATCTATGAAGGTTACTGGTTTCGAATTTGGGCTCCACCAGTTCGACAAACAATTGAGAGAACAGTGATAATTTTAGTTTTGGGTTCAAAGCTTCAAACTCAGCGACGGGTTTGGAAAAGGAATGTGAGGGGAGGGAAGAAGCTTAATTGAGGAGAGAAAGGAGTCTGAATTTACAATTTTATCCATGTTCTTAACGGAAAAGTTAATAAAGGACCATTCGTGGAAATGAATATAATAATTGGGGACTAAATTAGTAATATTTGATATGTAGGGACTATAACTGGGGACCTTTTATGGAATTTACTCTTTAAAATAATTAAATATTATAAAAATTTGATATTTCAAAAATATATTTTAAAATAAACCCAATGTTATTAAATTTACATTATAACTAAATATCTTTTTTTCATAATTAACGGCCAAAGGGTGTCACAGTTTGACAAAAAAAGCCATACTGCCACAATCTTTCAAGGACAAAGATAATTCAGGCTCAAGATGTCTACCAAGATGGATGAGAAAATGTTACTCCCTCCGTCCGGAAATGTTCTTCCCATTTAACTTTTTACGGTTTCCAAGATTGTACTTTGACCACTAATATCTCTATTTATACATGGATATATTTTATAAAAATTTGATATTTGAAAACTATATTTCAAAATGAATATATTTATATTAAAGTTATATTGTAATACAATGTATTTTTTCCATATATTATAGTCAAAGTTTACAAACTTTGACCAAGAAAAATCAAATGGAAAGAATATTTTCGGACGGAAGGAGTATTAGATATTTAGATGATGGGAGGAGTGAATGTAAGAGATGACTCCCACTTGTCAACTGCCCTCTTCTATTCTAGCATTCATGGAGATGATCAGAGTAGTTAATTCTTTTGTTTGAAATTTGAAGTCCCACTCCATAAATACATATTCGGTATTCTATTCCTCCCAAAATAATTGTCTCAATTTGACTTCACAGAGTTCAAATAAAACGTAAATAATTGAAATTTGATTAGAGAAAATAGGAATTGGACTACGTAATTTTTTACTTTATGACAGAGTATAAAAAAAACTAAAAAAGTGAGATAATTATAGAAAATGAAAATGATTAATTTGGAACGGAGGGATTGGAGTACAAAACAATTGATCTCCTTATTCATTGTATCGTTGGTTAGTAGTACGGCGCACACACATATTGAAGCAGCCTCGAGGAACACAATTGAAAATGCTTAGTTTTTTTTTTGAAATGTAAATAGGTTAATTGGTTATAATCTGATTCGATTAAGTTTTGATTTGATCTGCTTGTAGTTACGTAATATTTAAAACTATTTCTAACCTGATCTGATTCCAATAAAATTAAACAATATTATGTAAAATGAATAAATTAAAGGGAATAACAAGCTCTAAGTCGAGTCAATGCTCGTTTTAGTCCTTGTAATAGCACTCACAAGTCAATTTGGTTTCTTTAAGAGGGTGTTTAGGATTGCATTTGAAAATAACTTATAGCTTTTACTTTACTAAAACACAATTTTAAATGTTTGCTAATCTGCGTTAGCTTATAAATTATGGCTTTAGAAGTTAAAATTAAGGTTTAGAAGTGCTTTCTAGCAAAGCTACAAATGCATGCTCTTTGCTTTTAAATTATGACTTCTACTTATACATAAGTCACCACACTCCCAAACACCCTCTAACCTCTAAGTTAAGTTGAGTCCAATTAGTCTATATAACAATGAAATGTGAATCGAATTACTACCTCCGTCCCACAAAAAAGTTCTCATTTTGACCATAAATTGGTCAAACTGTTGCACACTTTGACCCTAAATTAAATATAATCTAAACAAAGAAATGCTAAAAAAATTTGAGATATCAAAACTAGACCCTAAGATGAATCCAATTATATAAAATTTATTTCATAATTCAATATACCTTTTTCACAATTTCTAGTCAAAGCGTGTAAATATTTGACTAAATACTATTCAAAATGGGAACTTTTTTGTGTGACGGAGGGAGTAGTTCTTTAGATTAAGTTTGCCTATTAAAATTTTAAGTTATCATGGTAATTGATACAAATACTAATACACGGGGTTATTGCTCTTGCTTCAATTAACATGCTAACTCAAAATTTTAGCCGATAAATTTTGTTCGAAAGACTAACTTGATTCATACTCCATATTTCCAAGTTACATGAACTAATTTGACTAACTTGATTCATACTCCATATTTCCACGTTACATGAACTTATTTTTGCTCTAACACTATAAATCTATAATTGAGATTTTTTATAGAGAAGAAGGAAAAAGAAAAAGAGAAATTATACAATTCAGTTTTTTTTCATGTAAATGGTTAAGTTGAGTTTTGTACGAATAAAGAGAGAAATTACTACGGGGTATGTGAATTCATGCTTCAAAAGAAAAGAGAATCATATTTAGTATAAAAAGTGATACTCTATGGATTTCAATAATAATTAATCTTATTGAATAATAAACTCTCAAAGAGTATATATAGATATTACATCATGTAGAATCATAAATAAGGTACAACTATAAATATAATAACCCAAGAAGAAAGAAACTAAATAATCCTTAACATTAGGATTCTATTTCCTATTTGAAAGAGATAGTCGTCATGAAAGTGTTTTATGGAAAAGCGCAAATGTATATAATGATTACAATATAAAAAAAAATCATCAAAAACACCGGGACGGGAAGAGTATTAAGAAATTGATAAATGAAGCTAGACATATTGAAGGAAATCTAACATGATTTTACATGACTTATTATCTGAAATGTATTACTCAACAATAGAAATTACTAAAAAAAACTATTACAAGACTTATTATCTACTGTAACTAAAAAAAATCAAGACATTAAACTATGTGCCTGGAATTTATACAGAATTTTTTGTTAGCCACATTCTTTTCTAGAAAAAGAAATGTGGAAAAGTGCAAAAGCTCATTTTTAAATGACAGAATGAAAGTGTGAAATTAATTGTATATGCCATCATTCACTTTCCCTGAGGGAAAGAAAATGTACACTTTTTCAAACTAACTACAGAATAAATTGCACAGGGAAACAAAACATGTTTTCATGGTACAACAGAGGTTATATTCATACATAATTTTTTTAAGATTAGAAGATCTATTCTACATT